AATGACCATTCATTGCCTTCATTTCCACACCTCTTTAAAAAATTATGTATTTATTTAGTGATTGAAAAGGCAGGGTGACCAAGAGGGACAGTCAGAGAGTGAGTGTCGATTTAGTAGTTCACATACCAGCTGGGACTGGGCCAGACCGAAGCCAGGAGCAGGAATTCCAACCAGGTCTCCCATGTGGGGGCGGAGTGGGGAGGTAGCCTAAGCACGTGGGTCATCTTCAACTGCCTTCCCTGGCACATGACTGGGCAGTTACATCGAAATGAAGCAGCCAGGACTTGAGCCAGCAAGTAGAATAGGCGGTCAGGTGTTATTTTACGTACTTTTTAGAACCTTCTGGAACCACGGACAAACACTGTGTAAACAAGTACATTTCAACCTGGAGGTGGAGAAGCTGGCATCTGCAGCCCTAGAGGAAGGCAGGTGACACAACCACCTGATTCCCCTTGGGCACTCCATGAGGCAGACAGGTGCTGGCACTCCACTCACCTGCCTGAACGGGCTGTCTGTGGGGCATCCAGGTCCACTCTTCCAGCTACTACTCACCAGACCCCAAGCCCTGGCACCTCGATCACAAGTAAGCAGTGTGAAGGCTGCCCCACCTCTTCGTGCCAGAACCATCTCCTGCCACCTCTCTCACTGCCAGGAAGACTCCAGCCTCCAAGTCTGACTTGGCTCCCCGCCTTCCAGTCCAGCCTGGGGAACCCAGTCTGGCATCCCATGGCGATGTGCACTTTTCCCGCCCAGGTGTGACCTGAAGAACAGCTGCTCCAGCTCTCTGGAGGTCTGGCCCACCTCCCATCCTCTCGGCTCTGGTCTCTGGCTCCAGCCAGCCCAAGCTACCTTGTCCAGCCTCTGTCAGTGCAGGGCCTCCCACCTGCATAGCCCATTCTGAGCTCCTGCTCCCAGCTGGCAACTGTGCCTGATTCATTTCATGCCAGGAAGGTAAATGGCCTTCCCTGGCAGGCCTGGCCTCTGCCGGTCCACTCCCTGTGCTGACCCACTCTTATTACCGTGCAGTCCAGCTGCCCCGCTCACTGAGCTTACCCAGGAGCTCTGCACCTGTCTTCCCTGGGACCCATTCCCACACCAGTCTTGGCTCATGCTCTTCCCTTAAACTCCCACTGTCAGCCTCATCCCAGGCCTGATCGCCCACCACCAGCGCCTCCCTGAAAGGCTGGCGCATGCCAGGGTACTGCCCCTGCCACACTTTTGCAGATGGTGGAAAGGGGGGTGCTAATTTATTCACTGGCTGCCTGGGACAGTGGGGCTCCTGACCCTGGACTGTGGAAGGGGTGCAGGGGATCCAGAGCTGGCTTCTGCACTCACTGCTCATTCACATGTTGTAAGGAAAACCCCAAGCACCCATCTGCTGTGAAAGGCAGCCCCAGGCACACGCCAGAGCAGTGGACAGGGTGATGGGCATGCCAAAGCAATCTCCATGGGCGTTTCTGGGTCTCAGGGGAAGCACGGGCCAAGCGCAGGTGAGGCAAGCAGCTTCTGGTGGCCTGGGAATCAGGCCTGCGCAGTCACTGCAGGAAGACATCTGCCTGCAATCCTGGATCTGAGATATCCCCGTCATGCCAACAACCCCACCCCCATCCCATAAGTGTTTAAAACTACGTGTCCACTTGCACATTTCTAAGACTACATCAAAATTTCTCATCCCAAGTTTAAATGCTTTCAGAGGATGTAATTTCCAACATACTGTAAATATTAACATTTCTGAAACAAAACTGTTACTCTTTCTCTTTTAAAGGGATTCAACGGACTCTAAATCCTGGAACAATTTGAGACCCACCCTCATCCATGTTGAAATCACAGAACCGAGGTCTTCTTCATCAGCCTTGAACTTAACAATATTCTTTTTGCTCCAATTTCCAACCCACCTCCTTTGGCAATGTTTACCCTTCCATGGTGGATTTGATGGATCTCACTGGGGAAAGTCTGCCACCCTCTGCAGCTTTTCCAGGCCCATTAGCAGCAAGCTGGGTCTGAAGTGAAACAGCCAGGATTCCAACTGACCCCTATAAGGGACACTAGCTCAGCAGGCAACGGCTTAACCTACATTACAAGGCCAGCCCTGAGCATAAAGCTCTTCCATGCTCAAGTTCCCTTGTAGATTGAATTCTTAATTACCATTCCAAAAAACCCTCTCTGGGAATCTCTGAAGACAGTCACCAGTTGCTGAAGTGAGACAGGGTCTGTCAACGTCTCCATCCTTTAATGCTTGCAGATGCACACGATAAAACTGCTCACCCAAATGAAGAGAGATGAGGAAGAGGCGTTTATTCTAGTCAACTCCGCGAATGCCCTGGAAACCCGAGCCAAGGAGGACAGCAACCTGCTACCTTCAATGCCAGCAGGTCCTCTTTTGATTCTGATACAAGCAAGGAACCAGAGCTGGATCCGCATAGCTCACAGGACTGCACGGGCTCCCCTGTGACTCAGGGATCCCATGCACAGGCTGCAACCAGGGTGATGCTCCTGTGCAGTGCCAGCTTCCCCGAGGGCCAGGGCTGCTGTCTACTCCTTTATAGGAATTAACTTGTCCTTATAAAGATGCCAGTGTAACCCTCATTTCACACAAGGAGTAGTCAGGCCACTAGCCTGGGATCACACAGCCAGGGACTTCACCCAGCCAGGTAGCCTTCTTCCCTCCCTCAACTGCAGCCTCTGCCCCTGCAAGGGAGGGGTGTGGGTAGGATGTGGAAGTGGTCCTCAGGGTGGCAAGGAGAGTTGAAAGTGCTCCTTCCGGGCCCGGCGCGGTGGCACAAGTGGTTAAGGTCCTCGCCTTGCACGCCCGGGATCCCATATGGGCGCCGGTTCTAATCCCGGCAGCCCCGCTTCCCTTCCAGCTCCCTGCCTGTGGCCTGGGAAAGCAGTCGAGGACGGCTCAAGGCTTTGGGACCCTGCACCCGCGTGGGAGACCCGAAAGAGGCTCCTGGCTTTGGATCGGCATAGTATCGGATGTTGTGCTCACTTGGGGAGTGAATCATCGGACGGAAGATCTTCCTCTCTGTCTCTCCTCTCTGTATATCCGCCTTTCCAATAAAAAAAATAAAAATAAATCTTAAAAAAAAAAAAAAAGAAAACCAACATGGCCAGGGAGCAGCGGAGGGTCTGAGAAGTGTGCTCCCAGCCAGGCCTCAGGGAGCATTACACAAATGATTCTCTAAAGCAAGCAGGCAGCACCCATGCCTGGCCACGCAGTTCCCAGTAACCAGGAAGCTGTCGTTGTCAACCACGGCTAACAAGACCAGGAGTCTTTCTCACATCTCTCTAAACCCTCGGAGAAGGTGGACGGAGAGGCGTCAGCTCCATGGGATTTGTTCATAGAGGCTGGAGGGGGGACGCGGTAGGAATCATGCTTTGGGGCTCCACTCTGGTTCCCAGCTGCCACCAAAATAAAGAGCAGGCACATCCAGAGAGTTCTTCAACCTTCTCCCACTTGGCACATTCTAAAAGCAATGGCTCAGGTCACCGGGTCCACCCACAGACCCCTAAAAGCAATGGCTCAGGTCACCGGGTCCACCCACAGACCCCTGGTTTGTCTCTTGCACGCCTGTTGGGGACGAGAGGACACCCTGCCGGCTGCAGGTCAGGATGCTGTGTGTGAACAGGAAATCAGAGATGGACGGGAGAGCATCCTTAGCTGCAAAATCAGCGCAACCACTGTGCAGCAAAATAGCACCTCTAAAAGTAGCTCCAGTGGTGATCACCCCAGTGGGCTCCCCCACACAGCTGCAAAGAACCACAGGGGACCTCCTAAAACCTTCCTTCACAAAACAAGCTCCAGCTCCAGCTCACTGGCAGGTGAAAACACAAAGGATCCATGCACTTCCAGCCAGCCATCAATCAGAACAGGTGCAAGCAGGACCTGTATCCTAGAGCAGGAGCTGTCCACCAGCAAGCCTGCAACCACACCACCTGTGTCCACACGCCCTGTGCCCCGGGCAGGCATTGTCAATCAACTGCCAGCCTCACTCATTCACAGATTAACAAGGCGGCTGGCAATGAGCAATCTCAATGGGCTAAATCACCGTGGCCTGTGACACCAGTTTCCCCTGAGCAACAGTTTGAGTCCCCATTGCCCCACTTCTGACTAGTTCCCTGCTAATGCACCTGGCAAAACAGCAGGGATGGCCTACGTGCTCTGGCCCCAGCATCCATATGGAAAACCTGAATGGAGTTCCTGACTCCTGGCTTCAGCTGAGCCAAGCCCTGGCTATTGCTACCATCTAGGGAGTAAACCACCAGATGAAAGAGCCCTCTTTCTTCGCCTTTCAATTAAACAAAAGCTTAAACAATTAAAACAAAAACAAACAAAAAAAGAGGCAGCCACAGCCAATCAGAAACATGCCCCTTAGCCTCTCCTGAATCCCCCATGTCCTCCATTTGAAGTATAGGGAAATCGGGCCTATAGAAAGGCTCAATGTGGAACATTGAGGTCTCACATGAGGTAAAGCTTCCAGAAACTACCTCCCCAGCCCAAAACAAACCTCAACTGCCCACTAAAAGGTTCAACCCACAAATTACATCCCCCAAGCCTGCAGAAGACAAGAGAAAGAATGCAGCCAGCAGTGGCAGAAACACACAGCCCCCCAAACCACAGGGTCCAGGCTCAGCAAGTCCTCCACTGGCCCCTCTGGGCCTGGATCACTGGCCCAGCCCCTCCCACCTACCCTCCCACCTACCCACCCATCCTTCCCACTCCTCCATTCAGCTTTCTTTCTGCGGCCATAGAGTACTTGACCCAAGCCAAGCACCACAGGCAGGCAGGTACCACAGGGGACCACACAGGACAACTAGCTGATGGCCACTTCCCCTCATCACAGCTCACCGCCACACCCTCCCAAGACTCCCAAACCCACCTTCTCCCTCTCACCCACTCCCCCCACCAGCAAGGCTGCAATGACCACCCTAACCTCAGCCCCGGCCAAAGCCAAGCCACAAATGAAGATGGGGGCAGCGAGGACTAGGTCTGTACTCACCTGCACGACTTCAATCCCACGCTTCCTGCAGAGGAAAACAAACAAAAAACAAGTGTTACCCAGCAGGTAGGAGGCAATCTTTCCAGAAGATTCTACAGAGCTCATGGTGACAAGGGGAGAACTGGTGGCACCTGAACTTATAGGTCAGGTTCATGAGCAGGTGCAGCTGGGGTCCTGCAAGGGTCACTGGTAGCAATCTCCCTCTCTGAAACCCGGCCCAATCCCCACTGACACAGTCCCAGTCAGACCATTCCAAGACCGTTCCCAGCACTGACTCACTCCAGCTTATATCTAGCCCTGCCCATGGCTTCCCAGGTCTACCCTGGCCTAGCTCACACACAGGCAGGCAGCCAAGGCCTTCCCAGACCCCCATCCTCACAGCACCTGGCCCAGCCAGGGACATAGCTGTGGTCACACATGTAGTCAGCCCCAGCAGCACCTGAGTGAGCCCTCCAAGGGCAGGAAGACGCAGGCCCAAGACAGCAGGTCCACCGCAGTAGTGCTCAGCTCCCCCCAACTCCCCGCCAGCACCATGACAGGACTCTGAGCGTGGGTACCCAGGCTGAGAATCACAGTGTCCAGGGCTCAAAGGGATGGGCCACCGGGGCCCATGCAAGGGGACAGACAGCATGGCGAGGAACCTGGGCCACCCCACATCACCTCAAGCACCTGTGAATGCCTCACAGCCCCCTCCTCCTTGGTCAACCTTCCGCCCATTGTCGAGGTAAGAAAACGGAAGCATTAGGGTAAAAACCTGACCCAGGGCACTGGACCTGCCAGAGGGGAGCGCTCAACCCCAAACCACTGAAGACAGAACCACCCAGAGGATGGGTGTGACCGCTGGGCTGAGGTCTCAGTTGCCTCCAAGTGCCTCCCAGCAGCAGCCAGGTGATCCGGCGCAAGGTGCTTGTCTGCTACCAGGCCCGTCAACCCATGGTCACCGCTCACACACAGCTCCCCTTCCCCCAGCTTTGAAAGCAGATGGAACACATAAAACAGGAAAGCCAGGCAGGGGAAAGGCAGGCTGAGAGGTTAAGTGAGGTTAAGCTCCCGGGATCCCGTACAGCCCCTCTGGCAGGAAACAGGTGAGTGAGTGGTACAGCTCCCCCTCTAGGCCCACTGCCGACCCCTTGCTCCCTGCCCCTTGTGCCGCTGCCACAGCACCAGCCCCACCCTGCGGGGGCCCGGCAGGGCAGCAGGGGGCTCCCTGCACACACTGAGTTCAGAGGCAGGTGCAGCAGAGTACAGAGGAAGGCAGGGCCGGCCTCAGCCTCCAGGATCTCAGGGCACAGGGGGGCAAGTAGGCAGGCTGATGCACGCCAGAACCCCACACACACTGCCACAACCTAAGCATCTGGATTCAAACCCAATGGAGACCGTCAGGGACAGCTGGAGCATGAAGCAGCAGATGGGAGCTCATCCTGTGTGTGTGTGTGTGTGTGTGTGTGTGTGTGTCATAGAGATTTCCTCTCTCTGCCTCTCAAAACACTTTTTAAGATACTGACTCAGGGTCAGTGTTGTGGTGTATCAGATAAAGCCGCCACCTGTGGCAGCAGCTTCCCACAGGGGTGCCGATTTGCGACCCGGCTGTTGTACTCCCGATCCAGCTCCCTGGTGACCTGGGAACAAGACGGTTCAAGTACGCAGGCTCCCTACTCCTGGCGTCACCCTGGTCCAGCTCTGGACACTGCAGCCATCTGGGGAGTGAACCAGCCTATGGGAGATCTGTCTCTCCCTGTCTTCCCCCGCCCCCCACCTCTCTGTAACTGTGAATTTCAAAGAAACAATTTTTTTAAAAAGCTGACCAAAGGTCCCCTCAGAAGCTTTGATGGGGGAGGGGGTCTGGGACCTGGCCTGGCAGAGGGCGGGCACTAGCCCACCTCCCAGGTATTACTCAGGAGCAGCTGTGGATCCAGCCTGTGGACTCGTCCACAGGGAGCAGCTCCATCTGACTAGCCTTGATACACACAGAAGCAGGGTGGGATGTGCTGGGGGTGGGAGGACAGGCTCGGGGGGGCACCCCTTTCAGGTGCCACGGAAGGGGTCAGGGAGAGGAGGGTAAGAAGTAACCCATCACCCACAGGGGTGTCAGAAGTCATCAACAGCCCAGGACTGAGTTGGATGGACAGTTCGGGGGACCAGAAGACAATCCAAGTGGCCGCTGGATGTGGAGGGGAGATGGGTGAATCCCTGAAAGGGCAGACAGACCCAGCTGTATGCCGAGGCTCAGCTTGCCCATCCACCACGTGGGGAAGATGATGGCAGCCCGCTGGCCAGGGCTCAGGCAGGTAGAGGCAGTCAGTGTCCACCCAGCATCCAGCTCCCACTGGGCACATGGCTTCGTTATTTCTGCTTGGCCTCCCAAGCACCCCTCCCTCCCACCCCACAGGAGCTGGAAGGGCTAGGGCTGAGGCAGGCAAAGGTGCTGCCTAGAAATAACAGACACAGTGGCAGCCTGTGAGCAGCCAGAATCAGGATGAGCCAGGATCACGCCAGAAGAAGGGACCACATGCACCACAGTGGGCCGTGCCTGCGGGTGCTCATTTCTGAGGTTTCAGCCTTGCAGAGGCTCTGAGCACTCATGCTATTCCATGGATCAGACTTTTGGGGGGCCCAGCAAGACCTGTCTAGGCAGAGGTACGCACACAACACAGGAAATGGAAAAGCAGGAGAGGTGGGGTTACGCAGAGACGTCCACAGGGGAGGAAAGTCCAGGGACAGCTGGGGCCAGGTGTGCACCCAGGGTCTGGGGAGCAGGCACTTGGCACGGCGGTTCGAGCTACACATTACACACCAATCTCCAGCTCCCTGTAAGAAGCACATCTAGGAGACCCAGACAGCACCTGGCTCCGGCCCGGGGACTGTGAGCACTCGGGGAGTGAAGCCTCTGTCCCTCTCGCTGGTGGATGGTGACGGGTGTTGGGTTTGTCACAAGGCAGAGTCACTCTGCCAGCTGAGCACTGGCCACACCATAATAAGGGTGGGAGTGTGGGGTGGGGCACACAAGGCCTCCAGGGACTGACCAGTCCCTTGGTACAGGAATTGGGCCGGCAATGCAGACTCACTGCCATCAAGGGGGAAGGAGCAAGAGGCTGCATCTGCATGTAGCTCTCTGGGCGCCCGGGGAAGGGAAGTGTGTAACTCCACAGGAGGAAACGGGCAAATTCTCTGCTAACGACTTGTAGCACAGAGGCAAGGCCCTGCAGCACAGTGGAGGAGCCAAACAACCTCGCAGCCTCCCCTCTACCCTGCCTGCAGACGGCGCCTCCCCAGGACTAGGGGTTTCTGAGCAGGTAACAAGGCTGCCTCCCTATCCTGGATGTGCAGAAGCCTGTGTGGTCCCTCTGCCTCACATGCTGTCCAGCCCTACCACCTGACCCCCCAGCCCACTCCTGTGAAGAAAAGGCCTCACCCACAGCCCTGAGTGGGACCGCCTGGCCCCAACTCTGCCCTCTACTGGACTCTGTGTCAGTGGAGGCCTCCAATTCAGGCAACCCTCCTCCACTGCACCCCAGTCTTCAAGGCTGGGCAGGATCAAGCCACGCACCTTGGCCACCAACACCTGAACCGAAGTGACTGTGATGCCCCAAGGTAAAGCATTCAATGGCCAGGACCTGGCTCTCCAGCCACACCCTTCGGTCTCAGCAAGGTGGGTATAGGGGATGCTGGTCAGAGCCACCTGCTTGGAAAAACCGTGGCTGAGCCACGAAGAAACCATGGGTGCAACTTCCCAACCAGGGGCAATAGGAGTTCCTAGCCCTGAGACTTCCAGCAGTGCCTGATGACACTGCTGGTATGACCAGGGAACGGAAGGCCCATAACACCCAGGAAGACCCCCAGAATGAATAATTATCTGGCTTCAATCATCTATTGCACAGAAGCAAAGGAGCGCTGTGTGCAGGCAGTAAGCGCTGCACTGGGATGTGGCCCTTCCTCTGCATGGACTGCCTTGCTCAGACGACAAACACCTACCATCCACCAGAGAGGCCCCTGCCCTGCATAAGCACACATCACTGAAAACACTCTAGGCTGGCACTCTGGCTTAGGGGTACCCTGACGCTGGCCCGTGCCACTGTGCCTGCTGCCTGAGGCTGACAGGTGCTCCACAAACACTCAGCAAATGAGCCTCCAGCCGCCCCTGCCGGCCGCCCGCCATGTAGCATTCCTGGTTCCCTGGCAGATTGTGTGTGGCTGAGGTTGTAATTCTGAGTTTCCGCCTATTAAGCAGTGCCAGGAACTGAAATGGCCTGATATAAAGACAACATATGAAATGAATTTTAAAGCCAGTGTAAACAGTGGAATTGTTTGGACAGCTCAGGAGAAGAACCAGAGAGACTGGCTACTGCCATCTCTCATTTTATTAGGGGAAGGGGGCATCCCTCCCCTGACTGCATAGTCACCAACCACCCTAAAGGATGGCCTTCCCATGGAAGGACAGCCGGCGGGCTGGGGAGAGCATGCCCCAGCATCCGGGTCTCCCTCAGGGCAGATGCAGCAGCCTGAGTCAGTGCTACCAGCAGACCTAGAATGAGCCAGTGGGGTTCCCAGAAGTGGCTCACCTTCCTGGAGAGGCTCAGGCATCAGGGTGGGTGCAGGAGTTGGCAGCAGCATCCTGCCTGGGAAACCCCACCCCTGCATCTTCACACCTCCCCCATGTTCAGAACCTGGGGCCCAGCCAGGGGGTATAGGGTGTACGGGAGATCCCCCCACGGTGTTTGAACACTACATTCCACCCCTCCACTAAGGTCTCCTCCCTTCAAGGCACTGGACTCCAGGCTCTGCATCAGAACCCCAAGTCCTCCCCTTACATGTCTGGGACTCCCCAATCAGGGCTGGGAGTCGGGTAGGGGAAACAGGAGAGGGCACTGCAGTGAGGAAGGGCTGCTAACCCCTCCCCTACCCCCACAGCCAGCCAGCCTGCCCAGGGCGGATGACGCAGTGAGTCCCCTGCACAGCAAGCCGTTTCCTAATGCCGGGAATGCAGGCTTTCTAAGATGGGTCTCAAGAGCGCCTTAAACTTCTGCA